GGACTGTTTGTGCGACTGCGCGACGGTGGTCGTCGGCCGCGTGAAGTTGAGCGGCTCATGCTGCGACTATTGCTCCGAACGAGTAAGAAGACAGATAGCTCGTGACCAACGGTTTATAGGATGAGACCTGCAGTGGTAGGTTTACACGTGTAGCGATGCAGCGTGACTCACCGGGACACGTGACAATTCCCCGGTTGAGCGTAATCAGGTAAGTTGCATCCGGTAAAACAAAAGCTCGTTGCGAGTAGAAAAGAAGTCGTAGGTAAAAGGTGAAAGTGGCCTGTCACTACAGGACCCCGCCACCTCGCCCACCCTCACTATCGGTTCTGTAGTGGGTAAAGTTTGGAGGGGCTAGTCGTTCGACTGATATGGTTTTGGATAACCAAGTTTCAGTAAGGATCACTTACCACACTTACTCTTTCGCAGGCAAAGAATGACAACGAATACATGCACTGTAAAAGCACTGTGAGAAGACGATCGCAGCTCATCAGTGCAAGAATCTGGACGGCACCTGGTCCCAGCCGCATGCCCTGGGACCCGACCTGGCCTGAATCTTCTGTTCCTTGAAGACCTTACCGTCGTCCAGTCGAAACACTGGGATCCAAGAGCCAAACCGAGCAGGAAACTGGACAATTTGGCATCTCACCTTCAAGTCCATGATCCCTGAACTGAACTGAACTGAGCCTTGTTTTTCGGTTTGTCGACCACTGTTGTTTGAATGCGTGTCAGTTTCTGTTCTGTTTGCTGCGCCGACGAATGTCGTCTATCGTGTATTTTAAGTTCAAGGCTAATTTGAAGAACGATTCAATCCCATTCGATGGTTCGGCTATCTCTGTAAAGGATTTGAAGAACGCGATACGCACCAAATGTTGTTTATATTCCTCTGACTTTGATTTAAAGCTCGAAGATTCCAACGGAAAAGGTGAGTGCTACATCCATGTGTTCTTATTCCACATAGCATACACCAAAGATGATGAACTTATACCAAAGTATACAAGTATTGTTGTTCGCCGAGTCCCTAAATTGAGTTCTGAGGTGCAAAAGAAGAAAGTCCAGTAAGTCTGTGTGACTTAACGTATTTCCTCTCTTAGTGCTCCTGAGGATATCTCATGGCGTGAGGCTCAAAAAACGGTAAGCAATACTAATCTGGGTTCAATAAACTCCTGCTTTTTCGTTATCCTGAGCCGCTCACTTCATTCAAGCTGCATTTATCACTCGCAAACTTCAACAATTGAGTGCGGAAGTCATCTACAGCTATTATTTTTACAAGGGACCCACCCATATATTTCAGTTAATAGTTCATCAGTAAATATAGAATTATAGAATATCGCCTTGAATAAGGCGAAGTAAATTGACCAGACATTGAGAGTATTATGGTGTGCTCTAGTATTCTTGCTTGTGATCCGCTCACTTTTTTGCGCTAAGTAACGTGGTCTCCATCGATCAAACCGTCAGTACTGGAATGTCTGATATACCATTTCGTTTTGTAAGAAAGTAATGTTTGAACATGACTAGCGCACGGATCGCATCATTTGGGGGGTTTAATGACAAAACAGTATCACCGAAATGAACTACTTGGTGACTAGTTTGATACCATAGGTACCTGAGGTGGTAGAGCTGTTTTGTCCTTCCACCGAGGTCAACTACTTTCCTCCTATTTTTGAGTCCTTCCCCAACTTTTTTCACCACGATCGTCTGCTATAACCTAGCTTTTACATTCTGGTCGCTTTCCCAGGCTGCTGCCGCGGAGGTGCATCCACCCAAGGTATGTCAAATGAATTAGCGGTAATATTGTTGTAGCATGTGAATTTGGCGGACTCGGATCTTCCCGAAGAGGAGAAAATCAAAATTATGATGGAGCGTTCATCAGAGGCTTATTCCGAGAAAAAGTAAGCGCGCTTACAGTTTTTCACGTCCACAGCTTTACTGTCAAAGCCAAACCCTACGGAGTGCCCCCAGCGGCCTATGTGTGTCATAAATGTGGGTTGTCTGGACACTGGATACACAATTGCCCAGGTGTGCGGGACAAGACAGGAAAAATGATGGATGTAAAAAATGTCAAACGCCCGACAGGCATTCCGCAAGATTTTCTCCTTGAGGTAGATGCAGGAACCCCCGGTGCCTATCTGGGAAAATCTGGGAGGTATATGGTGCCCATTAAAGATGCGTAAGTCGTCTTCTTGCGATTTACCTTGTTCTTCAGGGAAGCGTACGCTCAAGGAAAAAAGGATAAACGTCCTTTCTCAGTAGAAGAAAATCCGCCCTACGTACCGTCTGAAAGAACACCGCCAAAACAGTTCATATGCCCACTATGCAATAATATGTTCAGAGATGCTGTTCTTGTGTCTTGCTGCGGCACAACTTACTGCAATGATTGCATAATGGGACATGTATTCGACGCTCAAATATTGGGTTCGCATAAGTGTCCTAATTGTAATGCCGTGCTGAACGATCATGAATCCAGTGTTTTCGAAAATGCACTTGTCCGAAGTATGATACGCGACTGGCTTTTTNCCCAGAGCCGGAAATCAGTTCGGTTCAGCGTGATATATTCAAAACAGAAGATGACGAAAAGGTAAGCGAAAAGTTTTTTTCATTTCATCCCGTTTAGACGTTTGTGAACAATCGACGAGTGCTGAAACCAAAGCAAATGTCAAATGCTCCTGGACCACAAGTGAAACAAATGGAAACAGTTACCGAGAGCCAATCCAAGACTGAAATGCAATGCACTAACGTGAAGAATTCTGCTTCACTCAAGATGGAAACTTGTTCGACGTCTAATGATATTCCTTCCGAAAACTCTGTGTCCAACCCTCCCGCCCCAATCGTGGCCTCACCTCATGACTCTGAAAATGTTAATGAACTGCCTGTTGCCGATAAAGCCTCCCCTGTTGTAACACCGAATACATGTGCTGCTGTGGTTGCAAGTTCGCCTTGTGCCACGTTTGTGACAACTAGTAGACAATCTCTACTAACTGTTACATCTGGTCTTTCTAGCACGCAATTTCCTTGTATAAGCTATTCCAACTCCGCTGTGGTTCCTACCATTATCCCAAGCATCAACGGTAGTACTAATCTTCTTAACGCGATTTATAACATGCGCGTAGGAAACATACAGACTCCAGTTGTCGCCCCGCCTGCTGTTGTACCTGTCCCATTTCACGGGTCGCTCGTTGGTGGGACTGACTGGGCCACCAACGCAGCTCTAGCAGCCTCGGGGACACAGACTGCTGGTATAGTTGATCCCTTACTCCCAGTGAATAGTAGTCAGACAGCATTTAATTTAGTTTCCGGGCAGGCCATCCCCAGTGCAATACCGACAGCCCTACCGGCACCAATTCAGGCCATAGATGGACGCAAAGTTTTATCAAAAGAAGAATTCTATCGACTGAAGGTGGAAATGCTTAATTCCACTCGACGAAGGTAACCGTTCGAATCATGATGGCATTCATATTTTGGTTTTTGTACTTTTATGAAATGGTTTTAATGTTGGGTAGGTTCCGACTAGATCCATCCGGGATATTTGTTGCTGTACCCCACTCGTGGAAAGTTTTTCTTCGAGTTCTGAGGTCCGTTTGGTATCCACTGAGTTGAACTTGGCCCTGCGTATGCGGAATGCGCGAGTCAGGTCGCACAAGTTATGATTTCGAAAAGGTTATTTAAATGGTCGTGATAAACAGACGACGCAGTACAATCCGTTGAGCCACAGGTTTGGAGCACGGTATTGTGCAAATCGCTATCGCCGAGGATGACATGTTGACTTCATTTGAGCTATCGAATCGAAACAGTGTTCGGAAGCAAAACACTAAAAGTTTATTTTGGTGTTTCCCAATACCCGTTAGTGCTTGAGGAACCTTTGACTCTATACCTAATGACTCCTCGGATATTTGATGAATCTAGCTAGGACTTCCTATGGATTATTGTGGTTACAGGCTGATGAAAGTTGGCCTGAGCGTACATGCACCCACATGGTGGTCGAATCGCTGTTCGAAACTATAACTCCGTGGCTATTGTACTCCACTATTGGAATTACAGAAATCATCGCTGCAAATCAATGCATAAATCAGTTAGATTATTTTAAACCCTGGGACCGCATCAGTTTTCTGTGAATTAGACTGTTCTAGCCTAATCCCAGCTGGGGCATTTGAAATGTTTGGGTGTTCTGGCTCACCTTTTAATAAGCGGTTAACTGACTCTGACAAAGCTGTTAGATGCAGATGTCGTTTGGCGTGTGTCAGTGTAGACAGCCATTTTGGGGATGCCAAGAGCAACTATGATCAGTCATGACTGCTGATGAAAAAACTTCCTAATGTTTTTGACCAATGCTCAAGTCCTCTTTTGTGTAATAATTCTCATGTTGCGAATGCATTATACGAAGATCGCGCAGGGTCGGTTGTAATCTAATGTACCCACGGCTTGCATCGGTATCCTTTGTGTTTATGTAGTGTCATTTCAGTAAGCTAAAGTTTCAGGAACTCAAGGCGCTGACGCAACGTTCGAGCTTGAGGCAAATAGTCGTCTTTCGTAGCGTATTTTTTGTGCAAGTTCGAAACAAAATGTTCACTAAGTTTTCATTTAACAAACTTTTGTTGTCAACAAATTCCTCTTGTTTTGATCGCTTCGCGATGTTCCGTATGCTAAAATACCTCTATTGGTCGCATGTCGCTTACGTTGTCTTTTGTTGTCGTCCATTGATGTGAGTTTGTTGGTGTTAATTGACGAAGGAAACCAAGGATACTTTGGTCAGTCCGTAGGCACCTTGATTATTTTCTGAGTATCTCATTTTCCCTCGCATCGACATAAACTTGCACGCAGACGCCGTCATCGGTCTCGGTCGCGTAGTCCCGGATCTACTCATCGTCTTGCACGTCCCGAAATACTATCCCGGCGACACCGCTACGAACGGGATGAATGGGATCGTCGGGATCGTTATCGTCCTTCAGCGGATTATGAAGCAGAGCGATCTCGCCGGCACCACTACGAAACCAGTGATTACTACGAAGTTAGAAGGGACAGACACCGTGCTACAGAAAGCCGTTTACGCCCCGAACATAACACTGATTCTATGCCTGATTATGACCGATACTATCCGCATGATAGGCGGTTTGTTCATAGTCGACATTCTAAACCAGTTTCGATTGTTCGAAGCTCCTCGCGGGAGCGTGCAGTCTATTTTAGTCCCCGTGCAGGTTCCACTTCACCACTTCAGCGAAGGGCCTATCGTGAACCACATCGGTATCGTGAACCACATGGTGATTCCTATCAAATTCCTGATCAGTCTGTGGATCGCATTTCCTCTACCAGGTAAGACTGCCACTTTTAATCAGCCGCTCATTTACCCAATGCACTAGTAGTTTTGTCTGTTTTATTTACTCGGTTCCTTGTTCAGCATTTTCTGCTTCGCTAGAATTTACATTGGACATATGTGCGTGAAGTAGTCGTCGGCATCGTATTACACTGTACGATGATGCAGTCATTTTCGACTGGCATTTAATTTCACTGGGTCACCGAGAGGGAGCAAAAAAATGTTAGTCTTCGTTGAACAACTTCAAGTGATGGCGTACATAAGGTTCCATCTAGGCGCAATATTGATCAATTCAGAAACCGGGCTAGCCACGGCTTCATCTGAGGTAGGATGCAGCTTGTGCCAATTACGGCCACTGCATATCGCTATACGCTTTTGGGCAGTACAGATAATCAGATTCTATAGTGTATCGTCATCGCCTAGGTTGACAATCGTGGGAGTATACACCTTTTAGATAAAAATGTGCAATGGTTTCATTCCCTCCTTTTTTATGTATGTATGTATGTATGTATGTATGTATGTATGTATGTATGTATGTATGTGTGTATGTATGTATGTATGTATGTATGTATGTTACGTCAGAGTCAGGGAGAAGAAGTATTCCTCATGGTTATTAATATTAATGACGTTCTCGATCAGGTGATTACAGTCAATCACCTCTGCATTTTGGGTGACGCACTGTCGAAAACAGCATCGTTGTGCCTAGCTTCCCTAGCGTCCCTACTTATCGAAATTCCGCTGCCAAAGTGACTTCGTCGTTTAGTTTGAAGCGTGGAATTATCCGGTCCGTTAAAACAGCAGATGTGATGTTGATCCTTGTCTATAACAAGCTGAATCGTTTCGTATTTGTTGTATGTAGCATATTTGACTTCTGTATGTATCTTGAACTGCTTATATAAAGTTTTGCTTCGCATTGTTCCATTTACAGTCCTACCACTGTGTCTGTGGTTCCACAATATGAGCTTTCAGATCCTGAATCCAACGGTGAGTTCTATTACGGCATTTAATGATACTTCCCCAGGTTCGAATATTCGACCTACACGTCATGAAATTTCCGTGGACGTCAAGGAGCGAGACGTTCCAATGC